GGGTATTATAAGAAGACAAAAAGGGTAATGTGAAAAGACTAATAGTAATGTGAAAAGACTAAAGGTAATGTGAAAAGACAGAGGGTTATATATCAGGATTTAAATTTAAATATAATTAACATTAAAAAAAGAAAAGAAGATAAATAGACAAAGGATTAATATTTTAGAATTTAGGTTTAAATATAAAGTTGGGGCGGGACGGGGACGGGGGCGGGGTAGGGATTGTATTACCCATCCCCGCCCTCGAACCCGATTTCTTAAAGCGAGGAAAACCTGAACCCGAACCCGGTCAACTCGATTTTTCCCTGTCAACCTCGGGGCGGGGACGGGTCGGTCCCCACAGGGACGGGTCGGTCCCCACAGGGGCGGGTTTGGTTGTCATCCCTATTCTTGACGAGGTAGCTGACCCTTGGGACCAAAAATGTAGTTTGGTGTTGTGTCTTCGGGATGCTTCCTTGTTGTGGATGTTGATCCTTTAGATGATATGTTTTGAAGCTTCAGGATGCTTCTTTGATATGGTAGCTGACCCTTTAGCTTTTGATGAATGGGGAACCTTGGGATGCTCCTTTGATGCGGTAGCTGACCCTTTGGCTGTGAATGGTGGGTTATGTCTTTCGGATACCCCTTTGCAACGGGGTTGATCCTTCGGACGATGTAAATACTGCCTTCGAGATACTCCTTTGCAACGGAGCTGATCCTTTAGGTGATGACAGTGGATTGTGTCTTCCAGATACTCCTTTGTAACGGAGTTGATCCTTCAAACGATATGTGAAACTCTATCTCCCGAATGCCCCTTTGCTATGGTGGCTAATCCTTTTGATAGAGAAGGGGGTGGCGACTTACTACTCTAGTTCATGCGTCGATGTATACGGATCTTTGTCTTTTAGATGCCCCTTTTGTTGTGGCGGCCACAAAGAAGGTGTTGGTGATTTACTGCTCTAGCTCATGCATCGGCTCCTATGGAGAGTGATTTTAGTGCTTTGAGGTATTTAGTTGACTTTTCTGATGTAGTCATCCGATTTTTCGGAGATTCTTTGTTTTTGGCTTTTCCATTAGCCATCTGACTTTGTTGGTTGTCAAGGATTCTTGGTGAATGCTTCTTAGGTAGGCAGGAATCAACTGGAGATTTTTTTTATCTTGGTAGTGCCTCTTGAGTAGGCAAATGCTTCATCGGAAGTGAAGACCTTTAGATGCGTTGTTCTGCCTTTGAATAGGCTGATGTTCCCTGCTGGCTCTTTGCTTGCCAGATCTTGCTTACGTATAGGCAAATGACTCTTCTGAGGATGTGAGTCTAAAATTTGCCTTTTTCGTAGGTTCATTGAGGATGATTCTTCTTTTTTTTTATGATTCACCGGGGATTGATTGCCTTCCCAGGGATCTGATTTTGGTTTGCCCCTTGGGGGATGGAGTTTGGACTCCTTGTTAAATGCTGGTGTGAGATAGTTTTGCAAAGCTCTTATTCTGTTGGGAGAAATGGAATTTCAAATTCCTTTTCTTTCATTGATTTTCTCTTTTCTGAGGTGACTCACTTAGGGATTTTACTTATTACCTAAAAGTTAGGTTTTTTTATTCAATTTCGTCTTTTTCCGCAATTTATCTCTTTTTTATCGCGATTTTGAAATTTGGCTTTTTTATGGGATAATGCGTGTGCCTTTTTACTTTTTAGTTTCTTTTATACACGCAGACTTTTTCTTCTTTTTGGGGATCCACAGGGGATAAAGTTGTTTCTCTTTTTTGTGGCCCTCTTGGGGAATGGAGTCTGGGCTCCTTGTTTGATGTTGATGCGAGTTGACCTTGTGAAACTCTTATTCCACTGGCGGATGTGAATTTCTGATTCCTTCTTTTTGTATATTTATCTGAGGAGATCCACTTGGGGATTTTTATTCGGCCTTCTCTGTTACGACCCTTTCTTTTGGACATCCGCTAGGGTTGCAAGGGTTTTCTTTTTTTGTTGGAACCCTGAGAATGTGGAGGTTTGGGTTCCATGATCGTTGGTGATGATGGGCTCTTGAAGCCTTTATTCTCCTTTGATGAATGTGGTGGAGAATGGGTGAGTATGCTTGTTGACTCATGTGGCGGAAATGCTGAGCCGTGCGAAACTATTTTTGTTTACCTCTAGAGTGGGAAATGATCCGCTTGGAGATAATCGAGCATTTCCGTCGGCTTTTCTTTAATGTACCTTCTCTTTACTGGGGTAGAAGGAGAATGGTTGGGGCTTTTGATTCGGGAAGCTATTATTTCTTCTAAGTTATTTGATGACGACAACTCGCTCTTCTTTCTTGAGGGAGAACAATGCTTGGAGACTTCTTATTTGTACCTTCTTTTTCTGGGTAGAAGGATGGTAGCTGGAGCTCTGGTTTTTGGAAGCTTTTATTTTGCTCTAGAGTTGTTGGCTTGCTCTGTTTTCTTGAGGGAGATCATTATTTGGAGACCTGTTTTTGACACTTCCTGTTTTCAAACACAAACATGGAGCCTAGTCTCCTTATATGCATGAGTTTTGTTTTTTGTTATTTACTTGAAGCGGTTTTTATTTTTGTTTTTTATCTTGACAATGTCGTTTTGTGCGACTACTTGTGTGGATGCCCTACATGTAATCTATTCTTTTATGAGATGCATCTAGAAAATGTTAAATATACAAGGATATGAAGTTTGAAGATTTTGATAATGATTCAATAACAAATAACTTAAAGACTTGAAGACTTATAATCATTTGTATTTACTTGTAATAACTCTGTTTTGTCTTTTTGAGTCTATAAAATTAGAGTCCAAGATAGTCAGCACATAGTCCATCCTCTAAAAGTTCATTTTTATCAAAATCACTCTGTGATAATCGATTATCACTCAGGATAATCAATTATCCTGCATTGAAATATGTTTTATGAAAACTTTACTGGAATAATCGATTATCTGGGTTTTTCCTTGCTGCACAAACATTTTGAAAGTTGTGTTTTTCCTTCGCAAGTGCTCTTTTACAGAGATGGGTTTGTTACCCATATCACACCTATAAATAGATCATTCCACGCACCTTCAAAACATAATTCATTCATTTTCTCTTCACTTTTATTCTCTCCTTTTTCATTCTTTTCTTATCCTAGGCTTGTTTACTTTTTTAAGAATTTCTTGCTAGATTATAAGTTCTTTGGAAAATTCGAGAAGATCCTGTTATATCTTTGAGGACTTGCGGAACACACTGCGGATAAAACCTTAAAAACAGTAATTATACATATCTCGGAATCAAATTTTATTCATATTTTTGTTAGCATTTACAACAATAACTTATAATCAATGTAGCAAATTCCTACAAGGATCTCATGTTGTAACAATTTAGCAAAATTAGTACAATAGATATAAAAAATATCTAAATATATTCTAACTAGTTTGAGTCTTACTATAAGTGTAAATACGTTTTGGATTGAGTCTTGTACCGGACTCTTGTGATACAATTGAAACATGACTCAACATTAAACTATACATACAATTAAAAAAAAACTACATGATAAGATAAAATTGCAACTAGTAAGAAAGTCACTATGATATACCGATACAATTCAATGTGAATAAGGTAAACAACAGTAACCTGTCACTCTGACACCTATGTAAAGAATTCAATAAAAACGAAACATGTTTATGTTAATTTACAAACATGTAAATCTGATCAATTATGTGCACAAGATAAAACTCAAACTAATAACAAACTCATTATAATAAATTGATTTTTTAGAAATTTATTTATTTCTATATGAATATTTATAAAAAGTTGTTCAGATATATTAAAAAAAAAAAAAAAAAAAACACATGTAATAGCAGTTGATATAATGAAATCAGTTCCATTTAAGGAGCAAACAATAAGATGCTACTTGCCTGTACAGTTCACCTTGATTTCAGTGCTTAGTTGACACGACACAAAACCAAAAAAAATGGGATTGGCTTTGCGTTGATGTCGATTCCTACAATCGCTTCTACACCATTTGGGTGCTTTTGGTGTCAGAAATGATCCCTAGGTCATTCCAGACATGCTTACAAATGATGGTAAAAGATTTCATACAGTAAATAAGAGATAATTATATAAATTCAAAAATAGTGTAATTTTAATTCATCTTCATCTGACATAAAATTACAGTTCAGTTTATGATATCACAAAGTCCTCTTTTTGTTAACATTCAAAATATCCTGAAGTGGAGGAATATGCTTATTACCGAGAGCATAAAGGCATATGCTTGAAAGCTAATCTGCAACTTCAGATTTAGAAGTTATTAATTGTTATGGTTTCTGACCTCTTGTTTACAATTGATCACACACTTCTGCATGTTTCTTTTGCAATTATGTTTCCAACTTCATCTGTAACACAAAAGAATAAAATTTATTACTTATTATAAATGTCGAACTAAAAAGGTTAATTTACTTCATAGCATTAAGTTGGAACAAGAGAAACTTTCTATCTCTTTTACTATTCTTACACTCTTTTGTCATCAACAATTCATATGTCTTATATTAGAAATTAAAACCACAAGACTAGGCATCCCACAATCTAGCTTCCACTGCTTAAACAGGTATTGCTATGAACATTTCTTTCCTGCTATTTTTTATTTTACAGATACACAGTAAAAGAGCAAGCTCTTTCCACATTATTTTTTTATACCCATTAATCTTATATCAACGTTCGACGTGTGTGATTCTGAATCTATTTTCACTCCGAATAACACATAGACACATATTTAGTCCAGCCAACTTCTGATATGCAAAGTTTATGCAACTTATAATTTTGGGACCTTGCTTCTCTCGTGCATGGACTTCTTAAGAAACGCAGAACTCAATATATGGGAGAAGAAAAGACATGGAAGTTTCTCAATATAATTTATTTTCCTCTTTTGTGCAACAACTTGAAAGTTAAAAAGACAGCAAGACCAAATAGCAGAGTGATGCTGAATGATCTGATAAGATTTAAAGGTAAGGAAATCTGAAACTAGTTAGAAAAAAGCCCAAGCAATTAACTCTGCCACTCAACTGCGATCATTTACAACTTGATTTGCTACAAACATGCCATCTCTTCTCTTGGGAAAACCGGGAGGTTCCATGGTGGTGGCCCTATATTTTAGCTCAGAGGCTCCACGAAAATCTGGATCAACTGATGCTGGTCTGGCATTGTGATCTGTGGAAGCACCAAGTCTATAGGAACTTGCAGCAGCAGCGGCAGCGCTAGGATACCTTGAAGGAGAGCCGTACCTTCTCGGTGGAGCTCTGAGAGCTCCACCTCTAAGATCCATAACTTCAGTGCTTCTTGAAGAAGAGTCTCCAAAAGATCTGTCTGCTGAACCAGATGCTAATGGGGCACCGGTGGTAGCTGAAGTGGAAGTGAAAGGATCGTCTGGTCCCCATGATGTAAGCGCTTCCTTCTTCTTGGCGAAAAAGTGCCAAGCACCAAACAAGAAAATTACAAAGAACAACACGGGACTAGTCCATAGCATGGTGTTGAACTCCCCTTTGAAGATAGGTAGATTAGAATGATACATTCCAACATACCCACCTCCAAGCCCAACAACAACAAGTTTTTCACGGTCAGTGCCTATCAAAGGTATTAATCTTGTTTCGGCATCCACACCTGGGATTGGATTATTCAAGAATGATGATCTAAGCTCATCAAGACTCGAGGAGAAAACAAGACGAGGCACGCCAACTCTCACATAATGTGGAGATGAAACATTATACACGAAAACCTTCTCCGGATTAACAATCAGCAAATAACCCTTGATTGTCTGCAGAACAAGAGGCTGTTCCATATCAAATTTTTTCTTGTATCTAACCCTGCATTTGAAGTTCATCACATCTCCATGCAACAAGACATAAATCATGTCCCCATCCGAGGTAAAACCATACGCTTTGGAACGTTCGATGACATCAAAAACATAAGTTCTAGCAACAGAATGGTTCAACCCTTCACACTCAGATTCCCTGATTTTCATACCCCTGAAATCCAATGAACCTGCCCCAGTTTCAGTCAAGAACATAAGCCTTTGCTTTAAGAAAACCAATGGCCTACTAGAAGCCATGGCAGAACCATACAAGGAACCGTCTTCCGTAAAAACCCTGATTTTCCCAATTTTATCAGCTGACAGAATGTACTTGATCCTCCCAACATAATGAACTTCCAAGAGAGTCACTGGTGAAGAGTTTTCAGGTGACACAAACCTACAAACATTCTCCATGAAAAGAGAACTATAATCCTCTCCACTGGACCCTCCCTCCCAAACTTTGTGCAACAAAATTTCCCCATTTTGATGACCAGTTACTACAAAACTCTCATTCTTATAAACAGAAGTATACGAAATCATTGCAGTAATAGAGGACTTCACCAAGGTGTCAAACTCAACTACTGCATCTCCATTCCTCAAGAACACATATACTCTTCCCCTCTCATCACTAACAGCCACATACTTACTTAGCCCCTCGTGATCCCTAAAAGTCAACACATTCATACAAGTGACCTCAGAATCCAACTTCACAGCAGATGCAAACTGGAACCTCTCAGACCAAAAAGGTGTGTACTTTGTTACAGACATTCCCTTAGCTCTCTCCCCATCTCGAATTTTTCCCTCAAACTCCCCATATTCAACTCCTTTACTACTTGATATTACACCAACGTCACCATCACTGTAATCACCGCCCTTTCTCTGAGGAAACCTACCCTTTTCTTTAGTAGGGTGGTCAGGTAGCTTTGATTCTAATCTTGCAACTAAATCAGTGAGATTTCTCACTAATTCCTCAAGTCTATCCAACATAACTTGCTGATTAGTGATTTGGGACGGTTCACGAAAAGGTTCCCGCAATGAATCGTGGTCCAGCTTGGGTTCTACTGAACATGATTCGGGGTCTAAAGGGGTGCTTGAAACACGAAGAGAAGAGGGAAAAAATAGCATAAGAAAGATAAAAAACTTGCCTGTTTCCCAGGACGCCATTGAATTTGAAGAAGAAAATTGAAAGAGTGTGTTGAAAGTTGATAGATCTGGCAATAGGAAATTTAGCAGAAATCCATGTATGATTTGGGACAGTGTATTGACTGGGTTTGAATTAGGGCTAGCATGTGGAATAAGTAACAGAAAACAAGACACAGAACCAAATTGAGATCAGCTCAATACGCTGTAAATAAGGACAGATACTCTGATCGGATAGCTTTGTTCGGACTATATCTACATCAGATAATCCTTTAGGTATTGACTAATTGAGGTCTTACAGTTATGCTCATAGGAGATTTATAATCCCACATTTTTGTAAGGTAAAAAATAATATTTTTTTAATATAAATATATTCAAGATTTGGATCTTTTAAAATAAATACCAAAAATATCACCCTACCTTCTTTTATACATGGATTTTACTATTTAACTTCCTTTTTTAAATCATATAACTTGTGGATATCTTTACTATTTTAATGTATATATTTTAAGAACTATTGATTATAATCTTTTCCTCATGATTCACCCGTTTATGAATTGGACTCTGCAAATCATTTTAGATGGAAATAATCAATCATGCTTCTTTCAAATTCATTGTACAAATCCGAATTTGGCTGTTCATTTCAAGAAGGTAAATTACAAAATTCAAATTTATATTTATATTTAAAACTTATTTTCTGCAGTGTGCATATAAAACTATAATGTCACTTAATAATATATTACACTGCACAAAATCATCATAAATACTTTAGAAGTTATTTTTTTCTTAAATTAAAAAAATATATTTACATTTGAAATTAGTTAAAATTACACTATTTTGAACCATATAATAATTTCTCTTTTAACCTGTTAAGTTGACGAGTTAAGGTTCCAACATAAAACTAATTGACAATATGTGAAGTAGTTTAATACGTATTTAAACCATACCAAACACGTATTTAAACTATACAAAATGACATGAGATAGGTTCCAACATAAAACTAATTGACAATATGTGAAGTAGTTTAATACGTATTTAAACCATACCAAACACGTATTTAAACTATACAAAATGACATGAGATAGGCGATGTGGGACTTTTGACATTGAGAAACAAATTTAACATAACTTTTTAGAAAATGCAAATTTTAAATTGAAAATTGTTTAGTCCTTGCATCTCATAAATCAGATTACTTACATTAAAATATAATAGTTACTCCATCCTTTACTTGACTATAGCTAAGGAGTTTTTAAATCAATGAAATCAAATCTGTTTTCAAGTTGTAATCAATGACTCAATATCCATTTTTAGATGTTAGCTTGGATGTAATGAGTTTATACAATTAGTGAAAAATGTCATATGGCAGTAAAAGTTTTGAAGCGATATAGATACTTCTAAGAAGATAATTGTGTAGCAAGACATACAAAATGAAGTTATGATTAGGTTGCTTGGTATTTTGTATATTGTCTTTAAATTTATTTATTTTTGGTTTGTTTCGGATTATAGAAGTTTTAAGCTTTTATTTTGGATAGGAGGATAAAAAATGGAAGATTGAAAAAATAAAGGGAAAAATAAACAAATAAATAAAAATAAAAATGTTTAAAATACAAGGTAAAAAACAAGTAAAAGAAGTAAGATAAATTTTATTTTATTTTATTTTTTTAATTATTTATTATTGTAATATAAAAAGCCAAGAAAAAAATTAATAAAATATTCATTACAAGAAATCAAATAAAAGCTTAGTAGTTTAATTTCTATCAATTTTTACAATAAATTTGATATTGTTAACTAAAAAGAAAAAAATAAACTTATTATTTTTAAACTAAATTTTATAATAAACAAATATTACTAATAAATAAATATTTTAACTTTCCCCTCATTTCTTGAATTAACTTCACTTTCTTACAACTTTTTACTTCCTTAAATTCATTCTTTAATTCATACACAAATTTCCTCTTTAATTCAAACACAAGTTTAACTTTGCTATTAAATTTATTTATATTGTCCAAAGAAGAGTTTTCTTTCTAATAACCAAAATATAGTTTGAATGGTCTAAAATGCAAAATAAAGAGATCAAAATATTGTAAACTTTGAACTTTATTGAAACAATACAGGTCCAGAAGTCCTGATGGAACAATGTATCCTTCAAACAATTATCAGAATAGAAAAAGGATAGATCAAACAGAGGTTTTACAGGATTTTGTAATGTGAGAAAATTTCTGGAATAGTTTAAAAATCAGATGAGAAGTTGTTGATGAACAATTAACGCCACAGTTGCTCATAACGTGATCAAAATACTTTCAAGTATATATAATATAATATAATATTCAAAGGCAACTATGCCCAATAATGACCGAAAAACCCTTCAAAACTTGACAGTAAACCTATCAAGCAATTGAAACAATATATTGGAATCAAGCTACATCTCGAAATTCCATGTGGTTTCAGCAGTAAGTTTGGGAGCTTTCAACTCCTCAGCCAAGTTAAGTGATGCTATAATCTGGAAGACAAAGCTTAAAGTTAGACAATCTGAGTGAGAGAAACAAAAAGATGATAGGATAAACTTAAAGTCAACCCATTTAACCAAATTTCATATAGAAATAATATTATAGCAAAATCCTAATAAATCAAAAACCTACATTGATTAAATTATTAATAGAAGAACACCCAAGGCATCTATAAGTCATATTTATGAACGGGTCTAACTTTTAACATTTCCAAGTCTCTTCTAAAATATATTCTACAGAATCGGAAAGCAAGAACAGCCAATGTATAATCGCGTTATTCCAACATACCTTGGTGAGTTCGTTCATACTCACAATCGCTACTGAGTAGCATCGTTAGACTTGCAATGTAAAATCAAATAACAGTAGAAACAGAGAGTTTTCTGAATTTGCCTGGATTTGTTTTTGTGTGCCAACGTTCAGTAGAAGGTCAAGTTTCTTTCTTTTTCCTTTTTGTTTTGGGCTTTTGTAAACATAAGCCCATATAACCCAAGCCAAAAAAACAGTTATATAAGCCCAACACTAATAACAGAGGAAACTACTTTTCGGTAATCCAAAGCCTAAACCTTCTACTTGGAACAACTAAATTGTTTTAAGTTGATTTGTTTGTCATTTATGACTTGTGAGTTGAGTTTTGTATGGGTTAGTCATTGACTTTCATATGATTATTAATCTATGATTACAAGTTTAAGATTCATTAAATATTTGGTGTTTTAGATGGGCTTTTCTTCTCTTATTTATGTTATGTTAGACACATATATCTGAATTTACTATATTTTGTAGGATTTAGTTTCTTGTTATGATTTCACAAATTCGGATTTTGCATTCCCTTTTCCATTTGAGTAAAATCTCGAGTTTAACTACCTTGATCAAACACTGATCACTATCTTGTTGTATGCCCCCCCACATATGTAACTAAGAAATTAAGGTTAACAAACTTAAAGGAATAATCAAGACTACCAATGATGTATTGGCAACTTCAAGGTCAACTGAGAATGAAATAGTAATCAATCAGTACCCATTGCATCCCATAGTCTGATACAGCCTTTACATTGATAGTTACCACTAAAAATCAACCATGAAAGAATCCTCTATGGCAATATTCAATACAAAAGCATATAATAAGACTCATTCAACCAATGTCAAAATGTTCAGCTTCTGCCGAAAGGGATCACATTTACACAACACACTAACACGCAAAAATCATCATCCCCAACTCAAGCAAAACACAAGCACATGAACAAAAAATCAATCTTAGATTTTCGACTAACATCTAGCTCAATCTCAATATGGGATCGCCATTACACTTCCATCATGCTAAAGACTAAAACATTTTAATCATGCTTAAAAGCTAGCTCATGCAAAGAGTGAGTTTATCTTTCACTTATATCCACTAATTTTAGCCATATCAATAATCAATCTAAGATCACTAATACCTCATGCCAAATACTGAACATATCCAAACGGGGTAGCCTCATGGACCCAATAACACGATTTTAATGTGATATTAGACTTTGGGGTTTTACTTTACTCAACCTCAAGCAAGCACATGGTGTGACTATTTTGAATTTTTTACTATATCCCTGGTCAAATGTGAGATCCACTCCACATACAAACTCTACCAGAAATATTAAACTCAAACATCAAAATTGTCACAAAAAAACACAACCACAACTACCACCCAACATTGACATTAAGTTGCGAATCTCCTCACCTTGAATCCAGCATTGTGTTTGGGATTCCGCGCCCACTCAACTCCCAAAACCTTGCTGGATGTCTGATACGACGCCCTCAAAGTGTCATCCCCGTAAACCCTCCTCGAAACGACGAAATCCCAAGTGTTCTTCGCCACATCATAGGTGGGTTCAATCGTGGTCAACCCCTTGTGAACATAACTGTACTTCAACTTGCAGCTCCCCGAGTCCAGCGCGTAATTCGCCGAAACCTTATTAGCAGGATCCAACACGAAAGTCCCGTCCAGTACAGTCCGGTTCTCCCCCCTGCTGTGCGCGTAGGTCAAGTTCAACGCCCTCTCCCCAACCCTAACCGTGTTCATGAACTGGAACCGAAAGTCCTGCACGAAACGGTTTGAGAAACGCTTACTCTTGAATTGGTATAAGTAACTAGAATTTGAAATGGAACCTTTTTGGGAACGTTGTAGTCGACGATAAAGGAGCCAGGCTTCTCGACGGCGAGAGCCAAGCCGGTGAGGCTGGGGCCGTTGATGAAAGTGGCTTCCGTCACGGAGGCACGGAACTTGACGTCGGCTGCGTTGACGGCGACGGTGGCGAAAGCGGCGCCGTTTTTGTCGACGTCGTACTTGCCCTTCAACGTGGCCTTCATTGTAAACAACGGAATGGAAGTGCGAAGGGACAGAAGAAAACCAGTAGTGCCAAACAAAGCCGAATAATGTCTTCAAATGCGGAATAATAAATCTTTTAAATCCTCACGCTGTTTCCCGACGCCCACATTCTTTTACTTCCTCTCTCATCTGGGCCTCACTACTGGGTTTCCTGCTCCCGACAGCAGGCCCATTCAGAGTCAAACTGGGTTTTCTACGTTCTTTTTGTTCAACTCTTTACTTGTCTTTGATTTAATTATTTAAGGTAAGTATGACTTCGTTACATTATTTTCAATTGTCATCAAACAAATACTTTATTTTTATATTGCATAATTAAAAACAATGTAGTTATGACTTTTCAAATTACGGTGAAGTATAGTGTCTTTGAATGAGTCTATTTTAAAGTCAATTTTTTTTTAATTATTAAGAAAAAATTATAATATTATAGGACAGAGCTAAAGTAATTATTTCTAAAAAAACGGTTAAATTTGTCCTTATAATATACTCTGTCTTTTAAGTTATCACACTAAGATTAGTCAGAGTTAAGGGTGAAAGTAAACTTTTAAAAAGTAAAAATTAAATATATTAAAATTGTGTAAAAATATTTAAAGGACCGAAATTATGGATTAAAAAAAATGGAATCGGAAATTGGGTTAAACAAAATCAAGGACTAAAAGTGTAAATTTTAGACTAAAATTATAGTCAAGCATAAAATGAAAGTCGAGTCAAAATATTAATTTGTGCTTCAGGTGAATGATGAATTTTTTTTTAATTTCTAATTAATTAACTAGTTTGTAGAATTTCATCTAGATTTATTTTTAAAGGAAATCCCAAAATAATAAGAACCTTTAATATTATATTATATTATATTATGTTATATTATATTATATTATATATATATATATATATATATATATATATATATATATATATATATATATATATATATATATATATATATATATATTACTTTCAATGGAAAAACATAACATGTATTTTATTTTGAATGTGTTATATTTTAGCGACAAGTCGTCATGTTGTATTTTAAATGAAAACAATATATAAACCATATTTACCAAATTTTATTTTGAAAAATATATAATTTGCATTGTACGATAGAAATGATAAACAGGCCAAATAACAATAAAACTAGTGTTTTAATTTGTACATTATACGATGAATGTTTATTTTTTATAACTAAAATATATAATAAAATTTTATCATAACTAAATTTAATAATAAATATTATGTTAACATATAAAATGAAAATTTAGAAAACTATTAAAAATGTTACTCGTTAAAGAAAGGCCAATTTACTAAAAGGTGTAATTCCCTCTCGATTTTGTCAAAATGAATAAATAAAAAAAATAAACGAATAAGTTGTATTTTAAAATACGATTTTACTATAAAAATTCATATTCTAAAATATTTTTTTTAATACAAAAAGTGTATGATGGTATATAATTTTAATAAATTTTTATTATTTTTATCAAAATTGTGCTTATAAATTTAATCATTTTTTATTATTTTTATTAAAATCGTACATGGTACATGATTTAGTTATGATTTTTTTTAGTTATTAATTGGTAATTTTAGTTACTTTTTTAATTATTAAAAATAATTAATATTTATAATTAATAAAATAAATAAGCTTTAAATATTTAGATACTAATATTGTTAAACAAATTTTAAATATAATTAAATTATGAAAAGAAGATATTAATAAGATGATAAAAAAATATTAATATATTATAAAAAAATTGATATTTTGATTATTGATATGGACAATTAATATTATTGTTAAATTTTTTTGTTGACATTAAGAGTAATATATCAAACACACTGTAATTTTTTTCTCAATGTAATGTACTTTTTCAATGTATATTTTATTTTTGTTTTACAAAATTTTCTTTAGTATCATATTAATATTTCCTTTTTAAACATTTAGTTTATATAAAAACTATTTAATATTAGTAATATCTAAATACTTAAATTTTACTTATTTTATCAATTATAAATATTAAAATTATTTTTTAATAATTAAAAAAGTTAACTAAAGTTATTAGTTGACAAATTAAAAAAATATAACTGAAATTGTGTATCATGGAATGAATTATATAAATAATACATTTTAAAAAAATATTACCCATTAAAAAATTTATCCACACATTTATTCAACTAAATTCATTTATTGTTAATATCCGGTTTTTCTACTCTCACATAAAAAAATTTGTTATTTTTTCTTTCACCTCGTTCCTTGTTTTATTTTTCTCTCCTATCCCATCTATTCTCCTAATTATAATTATTATATTAAAATTTAATGAAATTATGTTAAAGTAAGTTTTTTTAATATTAATTTTAGAACTTAAAAAATATCAAATAATTATATTAAAATCATGATAACAACAAATAATTTTATTATTAGAATAATAAATAAATTTTTTCAATGTAAATTATTAATTTTAAATTATTTTATTATAGGAAATAAATTACTCATCTAATTAAAAAAATATTAAATATTTATGAGTTAAATATATTTTTTATTTAGTAATTTCTTTTAATTATAATTTGACTGAGTTATGATGATTAATCATATTAAAAAATTTTAAAAAATATTTATTAAAAAATTATTTTAAAATAAATATTTATTTTTTTCATAATAATTATAATAATACTTCAAATTTATAATATGATATTTTTTAAATATAATATATTAAATTATAATATTTTTAGATAATTTATATATTTTTATTTTATTTTAAATAATAAAAAATCCATTTTTATCAAATTTTAATAAAAAAATAAAATGATAAAAAAATAAAATAAAAAAAATCGAAAAGAAAAACAAAAGATGAGAAAAGAAAAAAATATGAAAAAAACTATATTCATAAAAAACAATACTTTTTTATTTATTATATTTTGTGTATAAACAATAACCTATTCTAAATGGATAAATAATTTTTAAATCATCATATTTCTCATAGTTATGATTTAAAAACATGATATTATACCATGATAAATCTACTTAATTTAAAAAGATCGAAAGAAATACACATGATAAATTCGCTTAAAGAAACGAGAGCTTTTAAAACATTTTATGTAATTGTTTATTATTCTATTTTAAATATATTTGTTTAATAATAATATTTGTTTAATAATAAAAAATTAGGATTACTTTTCATTTTTTAATGTAAAGAAAAAAACCGCGTTTAAAAAAATGGAATACGACACCGTATAGCTGAACGACCCGAAGTTGATAAAACGGCATAGAAGCACAAACCCTAATCTTCGCGCAACCCTTATTTAAGGTGTTTGAGTTCAGCCTCTCTGTGCCGTCTCTCACAACAGCACTGTAATTCTCAGATTTCATATTGGTATGCATTTTCTCTTTCTCTTTGATTTCCATTTTCTTAATCTACTTTTTTGATTCCCATTATGTCTTAAAGTCTCGTTGTTGAATGCCTGTAATGCATTGTTTGCTTTTCCACGGTATTCGATTGGTCTTCTCGCCTTTTATTTTGTTTATCAGCTGCATCTGTTTTACCCTCTCCATTTGTGTCCAGTTTTAATGGCGGTGGAGTTATAACTGATGCACAGATTTTAAAGGTTGGCTTACCAGCCCATTGCACAGATTTTGAAATTGCCATGGGTCAAATGGACCTACCGAAATACCCTAAAAGAAAAGAAAAAAACCGTAAATTTTTATGCATTTGCATGTGTTTGGTGTTTGCAATGAGAGATTTGGCGATGATGATTCAAATTTTAAACCGCTTATTGATATACTGATAAGCTGTGATGACCACATACTCTACATACCTGATGCCATTTAACTTGTATCTTTGTGTTGGTTTTGTCGCCTCCTTTTTTTTTATCTTTTTCAGTGAATCTAAATTGTGGTAAAGGGTTGGCAAGTGATGTTAAAATTTCTTATCCTACACACTGAATGTCTCTGTGAAGATACAAAACTCCGCTTATTATCTGATGCCTTCGCTTTCTCAACCTTGTAGAGTTTCTGTTAATTTTTATCACCTCCCTGTATGTTGCATGTGTCCCTTTGTTTTATGGTATGAAAATTATCAATGATGAAGAAATGCAGACGGGCGGACTGAACTGATGCCATGTTGATTGTCTGCCACTTCCACATCTGGAATTTTTTCTGAGATTAAGTTGCATAATTTTTATTTCCATATTGAATGTGATTGGTTGGTTGTTAAATGTTTTTATATTTTGTGGGAAACAGTGTTTTTGTGTACAAGATTGCGATGATGAAGTTGCATAAATATGTCTGGACATATGAAATTTTCTAATGATATAATTGCTTCTTCTGAGCATTTTTGTTAATCCATTGTTTGTGTATTTGTGTTGTCATTGATGTAAGCAACGTATGATTTGTGGTATTGTTAATTGATTATAGTTTTGTGTTCATGGTGTTGTCCAATATGCTCTTCCTGAACTAGCCTTTGAGACCTTTAAATTCGCAATCTTTTTAGTGGGGTTTATGTCTTATTTTTATTCATCATAAAATGACTGATTGACTCTATTACATTCAAATATTTCGAAGTTTTTCTAGTTACACATTCAAAGTTACTTCTGTCCATCAATTTTTTCTAAATTTTTTCCAGTTACACACATTCAAAATTACTTCTGTCCTTCAACAAGAAATAATTTTTTTCTAGTTACACATTCAAAGTTAATTCTGTCCTTCACCTTGAAATAAATTTTTTCCTGTTACACATTCAAAGGTACTTCTGTCCTTCAAATTTTTCTAATTTTTTTCCAGTTACACATTCAAAAGTTACTTCTGTCCTTCAACTTGAAATAATTTTTAGTTACGCATTCAAAGTTACGACTTCTGCCCTTCTACTTGAAATAATTTTTTTCTAGTTACACATTCAAAGTTACTACTTCTGTCCTTCAACTAGAAATAATTTTTTTCTAGTCACACATTCAAAGTTACTTCTGTCCTTCAACTTGAAATAGTTTTTTTCTAGTCACATCCAATATTACTTCTGTCCATCAAAAAACATATAGCAAAAAGATATTACGATTTTTATTACGCTTGAAGAACTAAAAACTTATGAAAAATTATTACGATCAATTGTTTAAAGTATATGAACATCAAGCATGAAAATTATACCTTAAAAATTTGTTTTATTAAAATGTATTTGTATTGAGTATGTTTATTATTGATAAATAAAATTAGTTTGTTTAATAATTATTTTAGCATATATAATATCTTTATTATTAATAGAAAATAAATGCGAAAGATTCAAATTTAAGTATACGAGTATTAAATATAAGAATTTTAAACTTTTTTCTGAAATAATATTAGAAGAAGTATTATTTACGAAAATAGACTTATTTTTATTTTATTTATCTAAATAGATTTATTTTTTAATGTAAGATCAGAATTTGGTTATTGGGAAATTGAATTCCAAACGTTAATGTTAGAATTATAAAAGCAGTTCGGTTTCAGTACTGAAACTGTGTTTGTTTTATATATATATATATGATATAATAATTAAATTATTATTGTATATAAATATAAGTTGCAGGAAAAAAATCAGTTTGAAATTGTAACTGTTTTTATAATTTAGCATGGTACACTCTTATCTCTATACAGTAAACAGATTTATTTAAATAAAGTGAAATGAGGTTTTATTTTATAAATAATGATTTTTTAATATTATTTCAGAAAAAAAAGGCCAGAATTTTACTTTAAATTAAGAGTGTTATTTTATTAAATGTACTATTAAGTATATTTTATTATTGATAAATAATAAAAAAAATGAGGTTTTATTTTATAAATAATGATTTTTTAATATTATTTCAGAAAAAAAAGGCCAGAATTTTACTTCAAATTAAGAGTGTTATTTTATTAAATGTACTATTAAGTATATTTTATTATTGATAAATAAAATTAATTTGTTTAATATTTTTTAGTATATGAAATATTTTGTTTTAATAATAGAAAATCAGTTTGAGATTCAAATTTAACATAAAAGAAAATTCTAAATTTACTTTAATTTCAAAGTTCTAAATTGTTTAAATAAAAAATTCAAAGTTATTTTTGATAAATTGTGGAACTTTGCTTTATAGGAATTTAAGTCTATTTTACCAACAAAATCAAATTCATAGAGGCGCATATCAATGTCATCCTCTTTGATTAAATTTTAAATAGATTAACTAGATTGATTAAATTTTATATTGATTGACGAAAAGTTCTATGAAAAATAACATTTTCTTATTAAATTAGTGGATGATAATAATGAGATCTGAAATGAAAAGATGAAAACTAATAAATATTCAATTATAATTCTCATAATTTATTAATTATATAAATTATCAATTTTATATTATTATTTTATAGTTTTAACGAATAAAGCTGATGTAAAAGGATTAACTTATAATATTAGGAAGTGTGATGTTTTAGGCATTAGGTTGTTAGTTGTTGTATTTTGGCTTGGACAACAGAAGGAGACAAGCCATCATCTAAGATTATATGTGTGATTGGATGGAGAATATGCTTTGGCAAAACAGGCTTGTAGTTTATTTATTGTTGTAGATGGGGACTGATCAGCTAATTATTTAATTGGAAGAATGATAAGAGGGTAAGTCGCCATTTGGCATTGATGCCAAAAGGGTGGTGGTAATGCAACACGGGCAACTAATGTGCCAATAATGTTGTTAATGGTTTGGATTTTTCTTTCAGCCTTCCTTTCCATTCCGTGAAGATATGTGAGGGGAACGAGGATTTTTCCACCTCGACCTTTTAAATTAAGAAAAATCCAAACCCTAATTTAATATTATTGAATTCGTTTTTTCCATCACATGTGGAACGAGGATAAATGATTCCGTGAATAGGAATTTATCATCATCTATTTTGGATTCATTAAAAAATCATAAATTCATGTTTTAGGAATAAAATAATTAATTTTAATATGAATTTCGGTCTCGTGACTATCTGAATATTTTTGTTTCTTGGTCTCGTAAATATCTGGATTTTTTTTGCTTCTAAGAAAAATGAAAGAGTGTATATTACGTAAATATCTGGATTTTTTGCTTCTAAAAAATTTAAGAATGTATATTAGTGATAGAGAAAAATATTGCTGAGTCAGGCATCCAGTCATAACATTTAATGAAGAGAAGACAAGATGGAAGAAAATCTAAACACTGTCCCAAGCCCAAAACTTGTACTATTTCCATTTCTTATACTATTTCCATTTCTTCCACAACCATCACACTTGTCCTCTTTTTCTCACGCTTAATCGTCAGTCACTGCTTCTCTCCTCTTACGTTCTTCTCATAATCTCCTTTGTCACTCTGCTTCCACCATTTTGATGTCCTGCTCATTTATTACTTTTTTTAGTTCATATAAATTAAACCCAAAATATCACCGACACACTTGTCATGTTTACGGCCTTTCGAACGACTAACTTACATTGTTATTATTTAAAAAAAATAAAAAACAAAATTTATTATGTCACATTATTTTTAGAATAATTTATTATAAATTTTACTTATTTAAAAAATTAATAAATTTAAAAATAATCTTTTATTCTATTTTTTCTCATTTACTTTATTTATATATTTTCATAAATTTTTAAATAAAACAATTTTTAAAAAAATTAAACATTTTAACATATTATAAGAACTTTTTAATAAAAAATTATTTTAAAAACAAATAATATTTAATATTTTATTTAAGTATTTTGATCGTTAAGGTTTCAACATAAAACCAATTAGCGATATGTGGAGTAGCTGTAACATGTATTTAAACCATACTAAATGATATGAGGTAGGTGATGTGGGACTTTCAAGACACCCTCCAACGAAACTTGCTTGGATCAGTGCAAAGAGTACTTTCGACTCAATTAAAGGGCAACTTTTGGCTCATGACAATAACCGGAAAGATGTTAAGCTTTGGCTCTGATGTTAAGGTTCTAACATAAAACCAATTGGCAATATGTGGAGTAGCTATTTACACCATACCATACCAAATGATATGTGGGACTTTCAATATTGATAAACAAGTTAAAAAAACTGTGAAAAACTGTGATTGAAGAAAAAGATTGATTATTAGTGTGATTCTCCAACTGCAGGAAAATCAATTATTTTTTTGGGTTGAAAAGGTGCCACAATTTTTTATACATTCAAGGGTTTTATGGTGAAAATTTTAACTTTGCTGAGTCCCGGTCAACTAATTAATTACTTTTATTAAAATAATTTTAATATAATTAATTTTTATAATAATTAAAAAATTGATTAATTAAATTCTAACCTTCATATATTTACTTAACAATCGATTATAAATTCAACTGTTCTAAGTTGAAATAATTTTAAATATTATTTTATACTAGAATTTATTAGTAACTTGTTTTAAGAAAACATTTAGACATTAGTTACATTAAAATTACATATATTTAATGTGTATTTAATTTAGTTTATAGTTTGGTAGCTGAGTTTTGAATGTACATTTAAGAAAATTTACTCAAAATTAATTTCAACTTAAATATGAAATCCTACTTTTGACTTCATCTTATGTGAAACCAAATATGTAATCAATTAAATCTATAATGAATTGTAAAAAGTATAATAAATTAGTAAAGTAAAATCAAACTAATAAATATTTATTAAAAATTATGCT